CAAAGAGAAAACTACTATGGAGGACAACTGAAAAGGGATTAATGAAGCACTAACTTCAATGTGTCAGGTTGTTCTGGGCCTTCAGAAGCATCATCATAAGGAACGGATCTCTATCGAAACCCCAGACAAGACTCAAGAAAGGAGGGACAAGAAGACAACAATTAACAATATCAAAGAAAGTCAAGTCACAGACCAAACACACAGAAACAAACAAACGAGATGGGGCATAAGAGCTGATAAGCAGAAATAAGTGGAAGACCTAGCAACGACAGCAGAAAAAGCCTGCAAGAGAATGAAATATGAGACAACTATATGACACAACGGTAAACTAGCACGCAAATAGGAACCAGAGAGACCAGTCAAGGACAAAGAAAGCAAGCCAATCACTGAGATTCAAGAACGGTGGAACAGATTAATAGAGCAATTTGAAGAACTCTTGAATGGATCAGCCTCACTGCATGAACCGAATATCGAAGCAGCACACACAGACATCCCTGTAGATGCCACTCCACCAACGATCGAAGAAATCAGGGTGGCCATCAGATAAATCAAGAATGGGAAAGCAGCAGGACCTGACAATATACCAGCCGGATCACTGAAGTCAAATATAAAAGTAACTGCAAGTATGCTCCACGTTCTACTTAGGAATATCTGGGAGGGGGGACAATGGTCGGCAAACTGGAAAGAATACACCATCAGGACACCAAAACGAGATCTCAGCAAGTGTAAGAATTACAGAATCATCACACTACTATCAGTACGAGGAAAGGTTTTCAACAGTGTTGCTGAACCGGATGAAAGATTCAGCAGATATCCAACTTCCGGATCGACAGACCGGATTCCGTGAAGATCAGTCATGCGCGGACCAAATCACAATACTACGGATCATTGTTGAACAATCGATTGAAGGGAACTCGTCATTATACATTAACTTCATTGACCATGAGAAGGCATTTGACAATGTGGATGGAAGAACCTTATGGAACCTTCTTTGGCATTATGGTATATCTGAGAATATCGTCAATATCATACAGAATCCACACGACGGACTACAGTGCAAAGTCATGCATGGAGGACAGCTGACAGACGCATTCCGAGTGAGGACCGAAGTCAGACAATGCTGCTTACTCTCCTTCTTTCTCTTTTGGTTGTTGACTGGGTTATGAACACTACATCCGAGGGGAAACACAGAATAAAATGGACAGCTTGGATGCAACCAAACGATTTGTACTTCGCAGATGACTCAGCCCTTCTATCCCATACGCCAACAAATGCAGGTCAAGACAACTAACGTAGTAGCAGCCTCCGTGTCAGTAGGCCTCAACAAACGCAAGGAAAGAAGCAACACCCTCAAATACAGCACGGAGGACACCAACCCAATTACACTTGATGGATAAGCTCTGGAACAGGTGGAAACTGTCACGTACCTGGGTAGCATCACAGATGATTAATTAGGGTCTGGTGCAGACGTAAAGACAAGGAATGGTAAATCAAGGGTGGCATTCCTACAGTTGAATAACATATAGAACTCGAAACAGATGTCAATCAATATCAAAATTAGAATTTTTAATACGAATATTAATACAGTTCTGCTGTACAGAGCTGAAACTTAGAGAACTACCACAACCATCATCAAAAAAAGTATGGGTATTTACAAACAATTGTCTGCGCAAAATGTTAAATGTCTGTTAGTCAGATACCATCAGCAACAACCTACTGTGAGGGAACAAACCAGCTTCCACCTGAAGAGGAAATTAGAAAAAGATGCTAGAGGCGAATAGGACATGCCTTGCGGAAATCAATCTGCATTATGAGGCGAACGCTAACTTGGAATGCTGAAGAGGAAATGAAAAGAGGAGGACCAAAGAATACACCGCCGAGATTTGGAAACAGACATGAAAAGAATGAACAGAAACTGAAAACAAATGATTTGTGATTTAATCAAATCCCCTGGTACGGCCGAGAGTGTGGAGAGTCCGCTCTCCCTCTCGAAATGCTTTCACATGGCAACGCGTATACAGCCACTGACAGGTAACTCCCATTCACTGACTTCTCGCGAAGGGGGTGTTGTTTACGAAATTGAGAGGAGGAAAAGCGAATGTCCGGCGCTTTAACCGGGTTGGTGGACACGGAGAGTCCACCTAGAGGAGTTGGAAAACCCTAATTCCAAACCAATGGTGCACATGGGCTCCAGTATCCTGAAGGAACAAATGGCGTATGAACCAATCGTTGGTCACCGACTACCATGGAAATGCATCTTCTTACGATACTCAAATGCTCTGTGGACAAGACCTTCGGGTCAAAGGCTCCGGGTGTGGCCCCCTAAGAAAACCACCTGCTTCGGTTTGGGCACCCGGGCAGTATCACAGCCCTCATACATATTAAATGAGATCTGTGTGGCGCATATGTATTTGGTGCCTCCTTGTACCGATATCTATGTATTAAAATAAATAAAAAGAAAGGATTGCCCAGGATAGTTCGATGGAGAATGCTAATGGGCAGCCTATGCTCCTCCATGAGTGGTAACAGGCGTAAGTGAGATGGAGCCAAAGTATGATGGTACGAAAACATCCATATGACTTTAGTAGTGACAAATTTGTCTGATACATAATTTCATATCAAAAGCTATAAGGTCTTTTGGTTGCATAATCCACACAGTCAAAATAACCTATCAAAACCTCAAAAATGACGAAAAATTGCATACATTTATGCTGCCTACTGTTATCATATCATGATCACGATTAGGGTTATCGTTGCAGTCACCCCAGTAAATTTGGATTATAAACATGCTCTTGAAGAGTGAAACTTATTTAGTGGTGGTTATTTCGTACTCTGAAGCAACCTTTCTAATCCTCTTATTCAGCTTTCTAATCAGTTATTCTTATTCACAGATGTACATATGATGTAGAAAATTCGTGTTTCTAACTGTAGGGTTGAGCTGAATATTCCAAGTATTCTCAATTAAAATTCAGATAAAGTGAGAGACATAGAAATTAGATATTTAAAGCTTTTTGATAATTGATATCTGTGGACTAAAACCAAGATATATAGATATATTTCTGAATACACAGAAGTTACGGAATGATGCACTACCCTGGGAGAAAAATATACAGAATATTGATACTCTTACTCGGTCGTATTTGCCAGAGGCACAATAAATTTACCTAAAAAATCAACCTGCATCGTTTGTCATAAATGAATTGGAAAAGATAACAGATTGAAATATAATGATATCATTAACATAACTAGCCAAACGAATAGCTCGGAGATTCCGAACATAACGAAATCCAGTGGAGGATTACTACTGTTGAGTTATTATTTCGTTTGGAAAACTCGCTCTGGTACTGTAGTGTAAGAGTGGAATACTAATTTAGGAGTTTGTAAGCCAAGATCAAGTAAGATTGTCCGGAACATACTTGTTTGATGGAGAACAAAAGCACCAGACCTGACCTTGGAATATTGGGTATATACATGATCTGGCTTATGCAGCTGGTGTTTTGCTGACTCACAATCATACTCATTAAATACCGAACCTAATCTAGTGACACTTAATCAAGTCGATTGAAAAACTGTGATAAGGGAATGACAGTCCACTAATCAAGCCACTAATACTTCAACGATTTGGCAGCAGTACTGAAACCCACTTGATATGTCTCACTTTAGCCAACTAAGAAGCATTCACTAGCGCTCGCACCAACAAGATCATTTTGAAACTTAGAATATAAACCTGAAGTTCATTACTGAGTTTTGCTACATAAAACGGTTTAAAGCTTTCTATTGGAAGAAATGATGAATACTATGGTAAGTAAAGAATGTTACGGCCATACCTTTTCATTTACTCATCATGACATAATTTCGATCAAAGACCGTACTGTATGTTGCTACAACGATGTCGTTGATTTTCAGGATTCAGTGAGACACGCCAATCACTTAAAGTCCCGCACAATATATGCTTGGATTTATGATATGAAATGAAGAAATGCTCTACAGCCTATTCAAAGCTTCTGACAGTAATAGGAAGAACATCCATCTGATTCCTTTTCCAGGTTGAAACTCACGTACTAGTTTACTAGTCATACTTTAAGTGTGGGGTCTAATGACGCTACTTAGTTGGTTGACCTAAGGATGGAGCGACGTCCGAACACGAGACTTGGGGACTGAGAATCAAATAACTTAGACTGAGCCACCGCTCCAATGCATAAAATTCAGATTCACCCAAAGAGAATAGTGAAGAAAGTAAAGGAGTTGAATCAGTCTAAATCATATCAGTTAGTTAGGTTCTATGATGTAGCTGAAGTAGTAGCATGGCTTTTATTACTTTTTATCGTCCTCAATTTCAGTCACGTTTTTTAAAACCACATTCAAAGGAAGCGCGATTAGAATATTCTTAGTTGGTTATTATGGTCAATTTTTGAGAGTACATACACTTTATGGGCACTGTTTATAGGTGTAACCAAACGTATTTTAAAACACAAAAGCTTTAGGAACTATTTAAACTGTAGATTCATTCACAGGACCCTACTGAATTTAAGCACATTACTTCATATCAATTACTAAGCAGATCGTTGCTTGGGGTTGCAGTTGGATTCAATTATAAAATAGGATTGAAATTGTTTCCATTTTAATAGTTTTTCTTAATTCTAATCAGTAATGACTTTTTCTAATTTGTCACTTGAAGTGAAACGTTATGTACTACTTTATAGGTAAAATACTTCAAGCTCTCATATTATTCACGTCCAAGAATCTAATTAAATCCGATGAACAGAACATTTTCTACCTGTACAGCTCATTACACACTATTCAGTGGTTTTAACATCTTACATGATTTTACTTGAATTTACATGAATCTATTTGATACGAAGTCAGTTATAAACTTTAAGTAGACGATAAACAGACGCCTTTGAGTTTTATAAATCAAGAAAAGCTACTCCTGGGTAGACAGGACATTTAAATTACGAATCTTCTACGCAAATCAAAACTTAATAAACATGGAAACTCACACTTGAGCCGTAACGCATTCTTTTAGGAACAGCGCTTCCGATTTGTATATTGAGTGTATCCTGAAGACTAATCTCTGAACGATGACAGTAAAAATTGTCTACTCTTTGAAATTCATTTCTCAATGCGAATTGAAGGCTCAGTTAGTTTTACTTTGCTTATTGGTTAGGTTTCGATAGGCTTTCAAAAGACATTGTGCTGTTAGTTGGATCATGATGATCATTAACATACAATTGGTTCACGAAACTGTCTATTCGCTATTCAAAGTTTCTGTAATCCTATTTAATTTTTCTAATCGCTGCATTAAACTATTGTCCAAGTTTGACTTCGAATTGCCTGAGATATTACTGGAATGACACTTAGTTCTCAGAATACATATCTGCATATTCCACTCGTTATTGTCTGCCAGCATCGCTGGACTCCAAAAACATGAACCGGAACTTCATTTCGTCGCGCCGTCCAATTAGGAAGGTTGTGTTTTCCAGGGACGGCAAAAGGTAAAGCTATAGGTTCTCGAGCATACGTTGTGTTTTTTCGAGTATACAGGAATTGTGTATGAAATTACTATGTCACACATTAGTCACACTTTCTTTATAAGTAGAATGGTGCATGCTTGTTTCGAACATGGCAGCTGAACTATGTTGTTAGTGAATACGAATTCATGATGTGTGTATTAAAGAGATTGTGAATAAATCTTTGTAAACAGAATCTGCATTCACTGACCAAATTATAAACACAGTTCTAATGAGTATTGATGAGTGATTTCTCAATAGTGCTTACCGATGATGTCCTTATTGGATGTACATTTTGAAGTGCCACTAGAATTAAGAACGTCAGATTTCATAGTACTAATTGGAGATTTTGAATTGGTTTAGTTGATGCCTGCAACACCTTTGCAAATACTTGATGACTAGGTAAAATTCCAAGAGGGTTAGAAAATGAAGAGCATCGTTTACAACAAGTTAGACACTTATAGGAAAATTCTGTCAGCTGCTAATCCATCGACGTAATTAATTTGATACTCAGGACGAAGTTAAACCATTTATTTCATGATTGATTTTTTTGCTGCGCAGACATTCACTTGCACTTTTAGTAAAATAATGTAAAATGGACAAAGTCGTAGTTAGTAGATTTTCAAGTGGAAGATAAATGTTTGTAAAAACAACCTTAGACAGAGAATGACCGAAAGTTACTAATTAGGACAATTTTCTAAATTATATATACACTGTCATTCCATTGTTTTAATTTTGCTTTAAAGCAAGCATTATGGTTCTTGGCTCTGAAATTTATCGTATTGGCTCCAGTGTTGAGTTCGACTGGTGTGCTGTCGTCTGTGTCAAAGAACTTCGAAGCCTGGGATGGAAAGCAGTTGTCATCAACTGTACCCCAAATTGTATCAACTGTCTTTGATATGTGTGCCCGACTCTATTTTGATGAACTATTGTGGTGTTTGAATTAACTAATTATTCTTTTTACTTGTTGATTGCTCCATTTCTAATTATGAATACAGTATATAGGCACACTATGCGTGTTAAGTCACGGGTTTTCGTGCACATGCAACATATTATCGTGCATTTTTTGTGTCGTTATTTATCAGCTATTAACAGCCTTTTTTCCATCACACGTGAAGTTTCGTAATGTTTGTACTTGCGACATAGTTTTTATTGCAATTTATAAGCAGTTTGACGTATTTCTTGTTCACCACCTAATTAAATCAGTAGTTAGCGTAATATGGTTATTTTTAACAATACAAAGTCAAACAAGTCAATCTCACCACTTTTTTAGTCAAAAATAGATTATAGATTGAGGTTTCATGAAAATAAGCCGTAAAACCCATTATATATGGTTCACCTCTTTGATTATGGTGACGGCGAACATAGATGTCCGTAGTCGTTTATAAAATATAATTAGAAACAATTAAGCGTTAACCTAACAATGAATATTATATAACTTGTTTGTATTTAGCCATAAAAGGTTATATCCACTATAGGTAGCATTGTTTTGTACTGAAGTGACATATTGTTATGTAACGTATCAGAGAAAAATTATGTGAGTGACAATTGAAGTCGATACTCTTTTCTAGCGGCTTTCTGAACGTATACAGGAACAGTGTATAACACCACATTAAGTAGACACAAAATCTTCATAAGAACTTATGGAATTTGTGACTATGGAAGATCATGTAAGAAACCGGTTGAGAAGTTTACGATAACTGTGTTCCACATTGACTAGTTAGATTTTAATTCAACTAATGAATTATTGAAATATAAATATAGCAACTATACTCAGTGTTTTACTTTATAAACCGTATCCGTATTTATAAATAGTCGATATGACGCTACAACAAATATAGACAGAGAATAATGTGAATTCATTATAATCCATGGAATGAACATGTAATAAAATGGATTACGTAATAATTCATTTTATTTTTAAAATTTAGTTACCGATTTATTACAGCATCCTGTCACTTACATCTGCTCACTTAATCCTCTGTAATTATGTGAACTCTTCAAATTGTAATCACGTATTACGTAACCCAAGTTTTCAGTTCTTAAATCCACGGATCATTTATAACCTGTAGGATTTTTGCACCACTTATCTGTCTGTGAAATCCAGTCCACTATTACACCACCCATCCTTAATCTTTTATTGATTGTTAAAAGCAAATAGCCTTTGACCTTAAACTATATATATATACTTATGTATATAGTCATTGTTGATAACCTAAGTCATTTCAATTGTCCATATTCAGGTATATCAACTGTTTCCCACATCACTGTGAACATCATTGCTATCCATTCCCATGAAATTAGGAATAAGGTGAAAATGAAAATTATGCAAAATTTTATTGAATAATCATACATGCTGAAGTAGAAAATCAAGTTTACAAGTTGATGTTAAGAATTCTTAAGTAATAATTGTTCACTTTCTTCTCAACTTCCATTGCGAAACTTTCACCATACTTCTCAATGTTGCGATGCTTATTGATTCTTTGGCTTCGTTGAATGCTTATGTAGACTTCACTTCGTCTTGGTAATGCAGTCCTATTATTTTGGAAGTTCTGCGTAATATGTAACTTTCATTTGCTGCAATACCTAAGAAGTCGATGAGCTATGCAGTTTATATTTCATAATTGATATAGCTTACCTGTAAGAGTTCGTGTTTTACCAGTTTTCTCCTTAATACTTTCGATAACTCACCGTGCAGTATTACTGGCTTTAAGTTCTCTTTTCCTTCTGATGACAATCTTCTTGTCCATGGATCACATACCATCCATGTACTACTACATGGATGATTGTGGAGCATGTTGTAAGATTTGATGACATATCCTTGCTCCTCTAGTCTTACACGGAATTTAGATTGGCAATTATGGAATTTATACCTTAAACATCAGATATTAGTTAAAGATCTTACGATTTTTGCTTCATTTTCAAACCTTCCGATTTCCGCTTATGACCAAACGTACAATGAAACGTTACAAACAGGTATTTGAACCTGACATCCTTTAGCAACCTGCTGTCCGTGTGGATATAACGAGTATAAGTAGTCTGAGAAGCGATAAGATTACTATTTCATACCTTTTGGAACTCTTTTAAGGCGCTGTCAAAATCATCCCAGCACGCGAAACGCTTGTTCACTATCATACTTCGAAAAGCATCGCTGAGGTCGACTGAAATGTCACTTGAGCATGAAGCACTACAAACAGAGATCATTAATTATTAAAAAGTTATTCCTTGCAACAATAATAACCCAAGGGAATACTACAAATACTTAGGATTTACCAGTGACTTGACATTTCGTTGAGGTTTACTAAAGTTGTTGGGATCACAGATCAAATTACAAAGCAACAACAGAGCCAAAGTGTACACTACAAAACAGAGAATGCTAAATTAATCCTTTTGGTATCAGTTTGGTCCTTTTTTATGCAGCGTAACATGACTTATATATGAAAAAGCTTGATACTCATGTAATCCAACCAACCCACGGCAATTGAAACACGGAATGACCGCCTCTAGTAAGTCCGTTCAAGGTCGTTGAAACGAAATGGCGGGCACATTCGAAAGGATCGAACGTTTAAACCGTGCCCAATATATTCGTTTGTGCTTGTGTCGTAGTTCCTGGTTCATTTGCGTTAATTCTGGGATTCCTAGTTCATACGATAATTCAAATACTTTCAAACATTATACTGGCGTCGCGATGAAGCCTGCGATGGAAAAGTTAGATATTCATTCAACTTCCGAAGCTTTTGAGGATAAATTTGAAAGGTTCGAAATTCGGGCTATGATCAAGGAAGATGATGAGGATGTTAATATTGTGGCACATTTCCTCACATTCACCAGAAAAGAAACATATAGCTTATTAGGAACTTTGGCTTTACCGGAAAAGCCCATTTCGCTTACTTATACAACTATCAAGGAACTACTACTAGACTATGTCAGGTATGCAAATTTGGATTGCAGTAAAGAAGGGAAATTTCGTAAAATGATTCATCAGGACATCACAAATTCTACTACATCACGTCATCTGAACCCAGTGCATACTCAGGGTTATGCAGATATTTCATTGAGGAGTTGCGATGCACTTCACGAAGATTGGCACAAGTTTGGTCAGTGATTGTCCTGTGGCAATTTCCATTCTTGTAATTCATGTAAATTTCGTAATTCTAAGTGCTTTAAATGTGGTGATATTGTACACATTCAATCAGTCTGCAATACTAATGTTCATCTTATTGCAACTAATATTAAGTCTTGTAATTCTGATTCTACTGAATCGAGTATTCATTGTGATCATTTATCTTTATCAACGATTTTAAAAGACAGTGTAGAGTCATATAGCACTTCGGAGTTAAATGAAACTTAGAATCCTTGCGAGACAACAGTTTCTAATCAATCAATTTGTCGGAATTCTCATGTTATTGTACCAGATATGGTTGTTCCCAATGATTCACATATATCTGATGAAATTCCTTGCAAATTTGAAGGAAATATGTTGAATAAACCTAGTCATCATCGAAAACCTGATGTAGTTTTGATAGATACTAATTTTTCTAATGATCCATTACTCTACAATGACATTCTTAATAAATTTCATGAAAATACTTCAGAAGAATCAAACCCTGACGTCATATCATATACTACCTATCATCATAATGCATTTGCTTCTTGTGAAAAACTTGTTCACTTCGAAGCACAAGTACTAAATGAGCTCGAGTTTGATTACAATTCTGATGATTTCGCATCAACTGCCGTTTACCCTTATCACAAAAACACTTCTAATGTTTACTCTGACCAATGTGAGAAATATGTTTTAAATGAAGCCATATCATTCATAACTTGGGGCCTGTTTGAGCATCTGGGCTACCTGTTCCTGCCATCTAGATATTTCAACAAGTTTTCTATTGTTGTTTGTTTTAATATATCATTATGTTTATTAATCGCATAACCTATTCTGCTGCGTTTCTGAAAAGTGTACAACCTTTCGTTGTCAAAGTTACAGAAAACTCAATAAGAGACAATATGGTTGCTGGCAATGTACGACGAAAAGAATGTACATTATTCAGTTGTTCATTCACTGAGTGCTAACATCTAACTGGCGATTCCTCAATATTTATCGCCAGGACCGACCAAGAAGAAAGAAACGGAAACTTGTTGAAATACTTTGCGCTGAGAATTCTATATTGTACCAAAATTATAATATTGAATAAAGCTAATTATAACAATAACAACAACAACAACAATAAAGATCCGACATTATTTCGTGGTGGAGGATAGTGTTGGGAAATCTGTGCTCTCAATTCTTGATAGTGGTTTCGGTGCACAACCGACACGGCGATTGTATACAATCCCAGTAAGCATATGAGTCTGTTTCGATTTCGGTTGTTAATTCTAATGCTAATGAGCACATTCTAGATAATACAAAGTCCTTATCCAATACACTGTCCGACAGACACAGGATGAACTTGAGAAGAGGACGTACAATTGATTACAGACACTTAGACTCCAATTTAAGCTGTGACGGATGTGGTATTTGGATGAACTATCGATTCCTTTGTACTTGTTGAGTGCTCGATTTCAAATTCTAGATACAGCACATTCGTTTGTGATTATATAGTGCTTCTGGATCCAGTTACGTTATTTCTGGAATTCTTAGTTCATACTATAATTCAAATACCCCTATCTGTCATAGGGCCGCGATTATACAAACTAAAAGTGCATTCCGAATAGGAGCAACACGAAGTCAGTATATGCGGCTTGATTGTTCGCTAGTTAATATAAAGTGCGGAAAACATAATCTAGAATGTTGCGATGGCAAACTCCAGGTTCGATCATTGTTGGGGTGGCATGAGAAACTTGATGTGTATTACCCGACTGTCAGGTCACTTCTCATCCTTCAGTAACTCAGCAAGAATAATCATAGTTTGTGTGGTCGATCATAGAAAGGTTTGTTTTTTAATCTTTTAACCCATTTTGTTGCACATCTCTGTGGAGTCCATTGAAAGATTCATGGTAACGGAAGGTTTGATGTTGAAGAAACCGGAAGGTCTCCCGAAGTTTCTAGACGGTTTATAATGGATGTTGTTGTGCTGGCATGAACTAACGTTTTCCGTCTCTTGCGAACTAGAAGCAGATGCTTCCCATCACAAGTTGCTTTTTGGAGTTTTTAACCGTCAGTGATCATGCTGAAGGGTAGGAATGCGAGAGTAGTACAGAGATCTGTAGTTCCGAATAGGCGGAAAAATTGCAAACTCGAAAACTTTAGTTGCATGTTTTGACATAATATAGCAACAAAATATTGCAAAAAGGTGTAGAACTATGGTCTACTATGATATTAGTACTACTCTAATAATAGACCTAATCCTAAATTTGTAGATTTGTCATGATATAACCGCTTAATCTATAAGATCTTACGTGAAAGTCACACCATCGACTACACCAACTCACTGTATCGTATCAATTACCAATACATGATGTAGAACAAGGTTAGGCTAGAGGAGGAACAATATATTTAACATGAATAGAAGATATAAGGTAACATACAGCAGAGACCACGCCTGCATGGCCGAGACATGCCACTCGATCAATTCCAGTCCATTCAATTCATTGTTCGCGCCTTCTCCATTGTTAGGTATTTCTGCGCGTTGAATATTGAATATCTATTTTCTGAGTAGTCTCGTGTTCACAGCTTTGTGGATTGTGTGGCTATTGTCCAATGCCACTACAAAGGCTTTTCCAACTACAAAGAAAGGAGGGTGGCTGAGGCTTTCCATATAATGCTTAATCCTACTTCTCTCAATGGAAAGGAAGGTCTTACCATACATCCCACTTGGACCATCTATCCTAGCCATTCAGTCTGTTCGTATTTACAATTTCACACTATCATATTACAAATTTAAACTCTATCCTTTCTTACCATAAAGGTCACACAAGTTTTCATTCCTAAAAAATGCACATATACATACACACAAATTTACATACATATAACTTATGAATCACCTTGACAGAAATGACATGACATCAGCTTGTTCAGACCTGTTTTTTGATTGATTGAATATTATTCTTGCATTGTTCCGTTGTACTATTTAAACTTGGATTAATGTTAATTTGGTTATTTATTCTCTGAAGAAGTGGCTTACACTAAGTCACGAAGCGTCAGAAAATCCAATTTTCTACTCATTGGGATATTACAAATATATTATTTTTATTTATAACAATCAACCCAATGCTCAGTTTATTCGAAATTATCAAATCAAACCTTGGTAATGACACCTACAAAATGTATAACTGTTGAAAAATATCTCAGTATACGAAAACATATTCCATATAGTATTACAACAAAGAACAGACTGACAATATATCGTTTAGTGTAATAGATCACAAAGATTTGGACCGTAACACCTTTATAATGAAGGACTCCAAACCAAGCCAAAGTAAAAACTAACTTGAAATATCTGATGCTTTTCCCTATATTATATGATAGAACGCGAGGCGATCTTATATTAACGATTAAGAAATTACCGTTATCTTGCACCTTCCAAAATTTAGCATCACCGAGGTCTTAGAAGGAGTATTTAAAAAGCACGAATATACGAAGTAATATGGTCAATGAATGGAACGCTTAAGTCAAACAAGTGGTATCAGCCTCATCTGTTTTCGGTGGAGTTTTGTTCTCTGAGCTGGATGGTTTGGTCGTGGAGCTTTCATCGTTCTTCTGAACGACATCATCAGCACAAACTACCATCCAGCTCAGAGAACAAAACTCCACCGAAATCATCCACCTGAGCTACAAATCTTCTCCACCGCCTCATCTGTAAGCCTTTTCAAGGAGAAGACGAATCTTCACTGGAAAAAAGGGTCAGAGGTTAACATATGCCTACAGATCTAATATTCTGTAGATGGCTGACCGAGTGCCTTAAAGTGTGTTCAGTAAAACTGCTGTCAGCACCAATGTCGAAGACTGGCAGAATTATATATTTTGCAGATTTACCTACCGTTAAAAATATACCAAAGTCCATACTTGTAAAAGTCAGTGGTACGAAAACCGGTTGGGAGAAAGGTTGTTAAATTCCATTCACAAATGTTTTGCGTCTTTGACATGACTCCACTACATAAGCTTATTCGCGCGTGATATAAATGTCTTGCTGAAGGACTGCCTCTCGCTCACGCGGTTGTATTCTTTGAAGCTTTTGGAAATAGTAGGTGCCTATATTCTGAACACAATTTCGTTTCAAAAGTACCAAATACTTTTCCCTCATCAAATGTGTATATATTCGTCCTAACACTACTTTTAAGTAGTTTTAAATGACTGAACCCAATCTCCAAGGTTTGGGGAAATTCTTAGTCACTTGACCTTTACCAAGGTTAAAGGAAAATTTCCCCAGGTCTTGAGGAAGTTTTGGGGTTTTAGTGCCATTTTAAAGTTTACTATACCGGCTTTCCCAAAAATCGGTAGCTCGGGAAGAAAACCTCGAAATTTCACTAATTTCGGAAGATTAGGGGTTTAATATAACAAAAATCTTAACTCATGTTCTGTCATTAGTCTATACATCTCGTTTATCCCCGCTGTTGTTAATGCTTGTTCTTTGAAGATTGGTATAATAAAATCCTCACGTGTTCAGCTCAGCACGGTACCCAAGCAGTTTGAGTGAACAGACTGAATGTTTATCAACGTAGGATAGGCAACATATTAAGTATCCTTATCCACTGACTAGCTCGACGCGCAATTACAACTGGTGTAAGAGTAGGTTAAAAGAAAGCTATGGGACACCAGTTCATGTAAACATCAACTGTTGAACTTAGACATTCAAGTAGGTGGAGGCTACCTGCTGTGGTTCACAAGGTTATCAAACCAATGGTCGGAGGCTTAGTGATATGGTTCAGATGCTCTAGTGCATATTTTCCTCCAAAATCATATCTTCGATGATACGATTTTGCAGGCATCGATCGATGTCTTATCTTTTGTGTTGGCACAGCTATTGTAAGCACCTCTATTCTTGTAAGGATGGTCCTGAAAATTTTATCTCTCTGAACTACTGGAGTTCGTCAGCTAGAACTAATGTATGCATTTGAGAGGATCTATGTTGAATATGACTGACTATACCCTTTATGTTGGCAATATGTTTACTTTTGTATTAGATCACCATCACTAAACTTAGACTTATTTAGTGCTTTTCGAAGCAGCGTTAGAAACTAATATTACCCTCAGTAGTACAATGGGTTCAAAGTGGTGAATGGTTCACTAAGCTCGTTTGTATTTCTTTTGTTTCTAGTTGCACTTTGTTATTGATTGAATAATAAATCAACAAATAGTATCGATCCCTCTGACTAGGTAATGAATGTTAATAGTAGTAATAGAATGTCTTATTAAGTACATAAATGTTTGAGTGCCGTGATGTATTCGAAGCGAAATCTGATTTGGAGACCAGTCTCCTATCTGAAGATTCCGTAATCTGAGCACTTGCATTTGTGCATTTTTAATAATAAAATGTAACACTATTCTTCGTTTCTAGGGTATGATATGCTCAAAACACACTTCTAGTAAGTCTCGATTACTTCTATTTGCAGATTTGTTCCATAATGTGTTTCGCTGGGCTTCCAGTCAGGTGGTTTTCAATAGTACAAATATACCAGATATAAAAGGACCAAGGTCTTTAAATGCTGTTGCCGAGAAAACTCCACAACCAAATATGTAATTCTTATATTTCAGCCTGACTGAATGAAGTTTGGGCCATCATGTTATTACAGAGGAATGTTTGACTTCATTGACGGAAGATAAACAATATTACGAAACCCCCATTCTTCATTTGCTCTCACGAAGAAACAACGTGATTGCAACACTAACTGATTGTAATGGACGAGTTTTAAATGGCACTAGTTGTGGTGCTGAAGGTTTCCGGAACGCTCGTAAAATGTCTACTGTTGCTTTTCAAACTGTGGGTATCTCCATAGGACTGAAGGCGAAAAAACTTGGGATTGGGGCTGTGCGTGTTGTATTTAATGGGCTAGGGCCATGTAGGTTGGTAAGTATTTCCTTGCTTTTTGGTTAATCTAATAGCCTGTGCTCTCAGGTTTGAATATCTCGGGACTCAAGATGATCTCTTTGACGGATGATACAAAAGTTCATTATGGCCATGGGAGAAGACCTAGAAAACAACGTAGGATTTAAAAGGAACTTTCGCATCCCTCCTAATGTAATCATAGTAGTGGGAGTGTACATAATATAAACCCTAAATTTCAGCCTATTTATTTGTGAGTCTTCTGTGTGTAGTTACAAATTACTTTTCAAGTTTGCGTTAATGAAATGTTGAGAGATTCTATTTACTCGTCGGAATGTTAGTTAAACTGTCACATTTGATGTAAAAATGCATCGCTCCTAATGAAGATGTGTATCTTATCGAAAATACCAGAAACTCAAGGCAATTAAAAAGACGCTTAATTAGTTCACTGTTCTAAGTTCTTCCCAATAAAAGTTAACATGAACTACCAAATAATTGTATTACTGATTGCCGTATACTTATGCTAGGTGAGTATTGGAGTAAGAGTCCCTTGAAATGCCACCGGTCACTTGTTATTACTTCAGTTTTAATGAGGCCCAACTTTTATATGTATTAATTACTTCGAAAATTACATAAACACGTGAGAAAAAGTGAAATCAAACAACATTGGCAGTCGCACCATGGAATAATGGTTTGTGTAAATACAATCGGACCCAGATAATTTCAAATGAAGCGCCATAACCAGCCCCATATCTTTTACCTTTTGAGAGTACTATCTGCACATTCTATTTCGGTTAAGGATCTTACTAGTCTTGGATACAAAATAGTAACGTTTATTACCAGTTACATAACTTAGTTTCGGTACTAAGCATATGTTTCTAAGTTGTGGTTCAAGTTGACATTCTGAGATTTGATTAAGCTTGCGACACTGTAAATATGCAGGGTCAGAAGTTAATTAATAATTATACTAAAGAGATCAATAAGATCGGTTATTGACACGGGATAAATCTATCTGTTATATATTCAAATATGTTTATTCGATGGTAGTAATTGTTTGATCTTAAATCAATTACTGCATTAAGTGGTGCAATCATGCTAAGTATGGTTGCATCTAACATTTCCTTAACCTACTGTCTTGGAGAGAAACATCAAGGCATTCATTCTGATGAAAGCTACTGGCAGGTTCACGCATTTGTTCCTTAGAATTACTAGTTTATGTGCTCTAGTGATTTGGAATCCTAGATCACCAACATGTGTATCCATCAACACAGTTGGGACTTATGATACACAACTTCGTCTTATTACTTTCATCACTCGAAGATAAGCCCTATTGTATAGGAAATTATTGACAAGACATTACAGAAGCTGTGGAAACAGCAGCGGTTTCTCTTGGCACTTTAAACCAAAAGATTACAAATCAGCGGCGTCTGCTGAACTAACTGGTAGTTGCTCTAAAACTTCCATCTAGTAGCAAATATGAAAAGCGGAGGCAGCTCAAACATAAGCTGACAGTTAGCCTACACAGCGATCATGGGCATTGGTGAATAGCGAATGCAGAGATGGGAGGCAGCGGCGATGAGTGATACTAGACAACTGTTTATAATTGTAAAAGAATGTTATTAGGAATCTGGCTATTATTTAGACTCTTGGAGGAAGTGGGGACTAATATTTACTCTTAGTCCAAGAGATTGGACTGGTGGGGAGCAGTTAGGTTAGCTAAAATCTGGGGACTGGACGCGATCCCATCTAACTGGTGTCGATTGCTGGTTGTCATAATCTGTAAGCAAAGATAAAAATCGTCTTACGACAATCACAGGTGAGTCAGGTTAGTTAGTATAGTGTCTAAAATATTAGCTTCAGTAATACTTTGACACCTAACTAGAGATCATCCCGACCGTTGTTGCTACCTTGACGTGGTGGTCGGGCTTGCCTATCGTGATGAAGCAACCGAGCTATACTGGCTGGAACAACCGTTCCTCAAGGTCCTACCATGTCAGACAGGTCGGTTGAAGAGCGGTAAGACTAAAAGCAACAAACCTAAGGTCCGAAGGCGAAGTCGTACTGCTGACTGTACAGAAGTGTGACAGCAGTAAGGTGTTTCCTTCAGACAACCAGCATGACAGCGATGCTGCCTTCCCACAAGGAGGGGTGGGGTTAGAAAAGGTCGACCCTAAAAATGCACACCTCACCTTACGTTATGGATTTCCGTCTCCGACGGTAAGGCCCTTCGAAGAACGGAGCTAACACGTCAAAAACCTTCCACGAAAAGGCCGTGCGCGACCGGCCTCAAGCATTTGTCCCTTGGGCACTGCGATCACGCTCTCGGGTCGCTGAGACCGCTTCTAATCCAATTTCCTTTTCAGGTACCTCCAGGAGAACCCTTCCTCGGTGTGGGCAACCGGGAAGTGATAACCACCCTCATACCTCTAACAGCACTCAAGACCACTGTATTCATAATCAACCTTCCTCTTCAATTCCTATTATTCCTCCTACATCGACTTTCAACTCTAAACTTCCTCTTTCGGCTTCCTCCTCAAGTGTCACCATAGCCAACGATTCTAGTGCTTAAAACTCTGTCCCAGGTCTACTGAAACCTCGCTCCAAACTACACATTGAAGCCTTCAACGTACGCACCATATGTCAAATCGGTCAGCAGGCTTCCTTGGCTAAAACCCTAGAGTCTCTTTGCATTGATGTATGCTGTGTCTCCGAAACACGCATACAGGATCCTAGTGTGGTCATTCACTTGACCTCACCTCGTCAAAACGGAGAGCCAACGAGATACACCCTCCGTGTATCTGGTGACCCGATGGCCAGTTCTCATGGACTGGCAGGTATAGACATAGCACTAAGCATGAGGGTGGAACAAGCACTGTTAGAGTGGATCCCCGTTAACAGTCGCCTATGTGCTGTTCGGTTAAACGGCTCCGTAAGAACTCGGAAGGATAGAGAGGTACGTCGTTCCTGCCTACGCTCCCACTGACTGCAGCTCAGATGATGTGAAAGATGAATTTTACAGAAAGCTATCTGAACTTCTTCAGAAAGCTAAACGATCAGACATAGTACTCCTAGCAGGTGACTTTAATGCCCAAATAGGTAGTTTAAACCGAACAGAAAGGCATTTAGGTGGGTATTTTAGTATTCCGGCACAGCGAACAGATAATGGTGACCGTCTGCACAACTGTGCTCAGACAATCGCTTATTTTTAGCAAACACAAATTTTAAGCATAAGGAGAGACATCGTCTAACATGGCGACCCCCTACACCAAACAACGATGGACTCAAATAGACTATATTGCCTTCAGTTATCGTTGGAGAGGGTCGGTAGAAGATTGTGTTTCATTCTAGAGCATTTGCTTGGACTACGACCATGCCCTAATACGGGCACGCATCTGCTTGCGCCTTACTGGACTCAAAAAAGACCCATTAGAACTGAGTTGAGTAACGAGAAAACCAAAAATAGGTTCCAAGAACAACTGAGGTCACAATTAGGTAATTCTGAAGACGAGGCTGACCCAGATGTTGCTTGGAAAGACATACAAGCAGCTGTGGAAACAGCAGTGACATCTATTAGCGACATAAACCACAGAGTTACAAAGAACCAGTGGATTTCTTCAAAGTCTATCACACTGATGGATTCTCGCAAACTCGTCCCATCAGGTTCCGAACATGATGAAGAGCGACAACAAATCAGATCTAGGTTAAGAAAAGGTCTAAGAAACGACCGTGAGCAGTGGTGGGCAATGAAAGCAAAAGAGATGGAAAAGGCGGCGACTATAGGGAATACAAGACAGCTTTACAGACTAATAAAAGAAACTGAAATTAATAAGTCAAGTGTAAGTGAGATTATTTCGGAAAAAGACGATACTCTCATCTGCTCCCGGTCCAGACGTTTAGAACGATGGGCGGAACATTTCAGAGAACAGTTCAACTGGCTTTCAGCTACTCTACAACTACCCTCCATTCCCAGACAGCGTGAATGGAACGTTGAAGTAGGTGCCCCAACTCTTGCTGAAGTTCAAAAGGCTATAGTTGGTCTGAAACGAGGAAGGGCAGCTGGTCCAAATGGACTGGCTCCAGAGGTCTTTAAGGATGGTGGTCTAATTTTAGCGATTAGGTTGACTAATATTCTAGTTAAGATATGGGAGTTAGACGTTATTCCATCTGACTGGTCACAATCACATATCGTCACAATATATAAGGAAGGGTCAAAATCATCCTGTGACAACCATAGAGGGATTAGGTTAACTAATATAGTATCTAAAATACTAGCCTCGATAATTATCAGACGCCTAACTAAGACTCGTGAACTGCAAACACGAGAGAACCAAGCTGGCTTCAGACCTGGTCGTGGCTGCATCGACCACATATTTACCATTCGTCAAATTCTAGAACACAGGCATACTTATCGGCGTCCGACAATGGTGGTCTTTCTCGACTTGAAAGCAGCATTTGACTCTGTAGACCGCGAGATTCTGTGGCAGTGTCTGTCAATGAAAGGCGTACCCCAGAAGTACATAAACCTTGTAAAGGCTCTTTACTCGAACACTACTAGTCGAGTCAGAGCTTATGGCGAACTGTCATCTACTTTTGCAACCTCAAGTGGTGTCCGTCAAGGCTGTCCATTTTCTCCATTTTTGTTTACCTTCATCATAGATCTACTGATGGAAATAACTTTCTCGTGTAATGAGTTCTCGAGTATTGATCTCCATCCAGGAGGTCCACTTATCGACTTAGAATACGCAGACGACATAGTCCTGTTTGGTGAATACGCTGACAAAATGCAGAGTCTTTTGGTAGCACTGAGCAACAATGCCAGAATGTTTGGGATGCGCTTCTCTCCCTCTAAATGCAAGTTGTTGCTTCAGGACTGGTCTGCGTCAACACCTGAACTAAGGATAGGGAGTGAAGTAGTCGAACGCGTGGACAACTTCACTTATCTTGGAAGTCTGATCAGCCCTAATGGGTTGGTATCGGACAAAATCTCAGCTCGGATTTGAAAAGCTCGTTTGGCTTTTGCCAACTTACGTCACCTGTGGCGAGATATCCGTCTATCAATAAAAGGACGAGTATACTGCGCGGCAGTCCGTTCTGTTTTAATTTACGGCAGCGAAATATGGCCATTAAGAGTAGAAGACACTCGTAAGCTACTAGTATTTGACCACAGATGCCTTAGAAATATTGCTGGCGTCTGCTGGGATCACCGGGTAAGTAATAGTGAGGTTAGACGCAGGGTATTAGGGAATGATGGTTAATCAGTTGATGAGGTTATGAATCTTCATCGACTGAGATGGTTGGACCACGTGTTACGTATGCCTGAACACTGATTACCACGACGTGCAATGCTATCCGGTATTGGAGATGGTTGGAAGAAAGTTAGGGGCGGCCAAACCAAAACGTGGCATCAGTGCCTGAAGTCACTAACTTCTAGTCTGAGCCATGTTGTTAGATGCAGACTACTTGGTTGGGGTCCGCGTGACTATCG